GACAGCTTCGATATCCGAACACACGAGTCATCGTAGGCACTTCTCGAGATATAAAATACAGCTCCATCAGCAAAACGCTTGCAATTCACGTAAGAAGACAAGGAAATATCATTTATAAAATGTTAAAGAAAATAGGCCCGAGAACAGAGCCCTATGTTACTCCACTCTTAATTGGTCTAATGGGTGAATTGAACTTGTTTATGGAAACGTACTGTTCTCTTTTGCTAAATATATGACTGAATTAATGAATGAAAATGCCCACTAATGCCATAACGGTAGAGTTAACTTAAGAGATTTTCATGATTTACGCAATCGAAGGCTTTTTGCAAATTGAGAAGAAGAGCAACAAATTAGTTATTAGCATGGAATGCCATTATTAGGTTTTGGATCAGATATAATATTGACATAGTCGTATTAGTGCCCTTGCGAAAACCAAATTGATTTTCAGATATTATTGAAAAATTTTCAAGAAAATTCGTAAGTCTACAAAGTAGAATTTTATCGAAAAAATTTTAAGAAAATGTAAAGCAGGCATGGGGCTATAGTTGCACACATTGTTCGAGTTGCCTGATTTCAAAACTGGTTTGACACGGGCAAGTTTTGGGACATCAGGGTAGACTCCAGTTGACATACACAATTTAAATATATTAACTGAAACTGGCGCTAAGATATCAATAACTTGAAATAATATTATTGACTTAATTCCCTCAACATGGAGCCTCTTGCCTTTGCGTAGTCGCAACAAATTTTTTATTTCTGATGCAGAAGAAGGAGATATATTAGGAAGCAGGATGCCTCACAAAAAGGAACCTCAAAAGTCTCACCATCTCTCACAGGACTTAACTTTTGTGTTATGTCATTAGCAACAGAAAGAAAATGATCATTGAATTCAGTAGCCGCATCGGTGCCAGACATAAGCTTGTTATTGTTTGAAAATTCAACAATTTTTCTTAGTACAAGATTCTCCACAAGTAAGAAGTTAACAATATTAACCTTAGAGTCGTTCGACTCATGCATAATTTTAGTCGACTAGTACTGCTTCTTAAATATTTTTAATAGCGTATTCAATACATTCCGATAAGTAGAGTAAGACTACGGTAAATTACACCAGTGCGAGAAAGCTTGGAAGTTTATGCTTCTTCTTGATGGCAGACTTTATTTCGGCGGTCACCCAAGGAGGCCGAGGCTTCCTAATCGTGACAAACTTTATAGGAAAAGATGTATTGGATATTTTGGAAAATTCGGTCATGAAAGACTGCATTGCAAGATTAGGGTCATCAACATTAGTTAGAAATACTGGACAGATATGTTTCATTTTCTCCCAAAACTTTCGAATATTGTGAGCATTAATAAGGCAAGTTATTCTCCTAGCTGAAGTTCAGCGAAAACCCAGTTTCAAAGTCAAAAGTCACAGTCAATAACGACACCAAATAAGATCAAGCGGTGAATATCGGTAATAAAATTTTCAGGGAGTTTCTGTTGGCTTTAGTTAAGACTGGACAGAAATTTCTACAAAGAGTGTCATGAATAAAATTGTTGGGTGAAGATTATAGGATTGTTCAGATTAATATTGAAGTCGCCACACAAGATTGCTTTGCTAATTTTTGTAAGAGCCTCTAGTGAGAAAAGCTTAGGACATAATAATATTAGTGATTATTTTTATTATTAATATGATAATTATAATAATATTATTGATGATAATAATAAATAATACTTGGTAATTGTTGCTCAAGGCCATTTGCAATATTGCACCGCTCCATTGACCTTATTATGATCGACTCATTTTTAATGCAAGCTCCGAGTTTTTCAAAAGCTTTTATCGCTGCGGCCCTTGAGTGCAGCGATTGTGTCGGTGGCTAGCGCTAGTGCGCTGCTGGTGCTAGTTTAGAGGCTAGCACTAATGGCAGGCTAGTGCTAGTTTAGAATCTAGCACTAATGGCATGCTAGTGCTAATTTAGAATTTAGCGCTAATGGCATGCTATAGATAGTTAAAAGGAACTAGTTAAGAAGCAAACACGAGTGGCATACTATTGTTAGTTAAGAGGGTAGCACTAACTGCATGCTAGTGCTAGTTAAGAGGCTAGCCCGATTGGCATGCCATGCTAGTTAAGAGGCTTGCACTAGTAGAATGCCAGGGCTAATTAAAAGGCTATATAGCACTACTTGCATGATAGTGCTAGTTAAGAGGCTAGCACTGCTGGTATGCTAGTGCTAGTTAAGAGGCTTCTCAGTATCGTATGACATCACTTAACATCACTTCTGTCGCGGTATAAAGTGTGCAACGCAAGCATTAGAAACATTTTCCTTGAGAATTACAAGCGCAGAAACTATCACAATTCAATTCTCAACGTCAGCTTGATTATGACAAGATCGTGACACAACAACACGTGTCTGACGTGACCTCGGGTGCCACGCAGAACCTGGATGGCACTGGCGCAGGTGGCGGTTGCGTCTGACGTCATTCGGCGCTCAGCGCTCAGCGAGGGAGGTTGTAACTGTTTCTTTCCTGGCCGCTCAGTCATGGAAAATTAAATGGGCCATATTGTTCAATTAGCGAATCATTTTCTTACTTTATATTATTAAATTCAATACATCTTAAAATGAAATTACGCTGGTAGACAGCTTCGGGTGTAATATAAGTTAACGATTAGGAATTATTGAAAACATTAATTGAAACCTCTGGCAAGTAACAATTTTTTTAAATTCTATCTGCGTGTCATAATTTGGAATTTTAAAATTTTACATTCCACTTAGATTTAAAGCTTCTATTTTAAATCCAATGCCCTTCCACTTTCTGCAAAGACTAGCGGTTTAGAAACTAAAAGCACAATTTCATATTTACTTAATATCGATAATCGATCGATACTATGGGGTGCTCGTCTTTAAACAAAGCTACAATTTTTGGCCATTATGCCTGGAATCAAGCACAGAAACAGATTTTCTAAATGAAAAATATATATTATAGCGTCGTTGATGTAGCATATAGTCCCGACGTAAACATTTATTTAAATTTTAATTTTATTTGCATGCATATACATTTAAATTTATTAATTGGCCGTATTCTGGAAATAACTGTATATATCTGTTCATATTATACTTCTATGTCATAAATGAGTAGGCCATATGATCACTATTCAATTCAAATCGCCTCTTACCTATTCAGTTTGCACCAGCCTCTGATTCATGAATGAATTGTTCTATGAATAAACTGTGACCGACTTATAGAACCTGGGTTTTAAGAATTCGGTAATTCACGACATGTATATTTATTAATAAGCATTCGTTAGTTCAAGACTTGCATATTAAATAACAAGCATACATTAATTCACGACATGAATATTTATTAGTAAGCATTCGTTAATTCGAGACATGCATATTAATTAATAAGCATTCGTTAATTCAAGACATGCATATTAATTAATAAGCATTCGTTAATTCAAGACATGCATATTAATTAATAAGCATTCGTTAATTCAATACATGCATAATAAATAATAAACACTCGTTAATTCGCGACATATTCATCCGCCCCAATTAGAGTGTATTGCTGCGTTGCGCCCATTTCCGATTTCGGGACACAAATTCTTTCAACATTTACAAAATTTCAAATCCAGGGTATCATGAATACTCGCTAGTGCACGCAGGGTGAGTCCCACAAAAATGTCCTAACTTTTTGATTGATTATTGTATCTCCTCTCTGAATTAACGCAATTTACTGGGTTTTTGGCACGATGTTGAATTGTGACAAATTTTGAATTTTTTTTTTTTCTGTTATTGTAGTTTTTGAAAATTGGAAATCGATCACTTCACACAGATCGGTTTACTGAAAGGGGTAGAAAAACTATTGGTTCAAAGGCAAATTTGTTGTGATCTTTCTTATTTTGTTTTTTTGCAAAAACGTACAAATATAAATTCGAATCATTACCTAAGCGTTTAAATTAGTATGGTCATTTAGTTTCCATCGACATGTAATACCCTTCATTTTTCCCCAAGGCAAATATTACTGTTATCCGCTATAAAAAGATGAGCTTTGAGGAGGAATTCTTTTCTTTTTTATTATTTGTAACGTTCCTCAACATTTCCTTAGAAGAATTATAATTATTAACGCTGGAGGTGTTGTTTTGAAAACGTTTTCCTATTCTGCACAAAAAACATCATAAGCGATAAAATTATTCAAATTTATAAATGAAAGATATGAATAAGAATATAATTTTCCATTGAATAAATAGTGCTAATAGGTATTTCAGTGAATCGATTAGTGTGAAGTTGTTTCAACAATACGTCACAAGATCAAGCTAAACACTTCATTGAGGTTAGTTTAAGTACTCACTTTCTTTGATTTATATATGAATAATATCAACATTTTTTGATTCGTTGAATCCAGATCGTTAATTGTAGCGTAATAATAAACTCAACTTATAACACGATTTTTTGGCATAATTTTCATTGACTAGAATATACCGATCATTATAAAATGCACGCAAATTCTTCATTTATGAATCACGTTGACTCGACCAAATGATAACGCTTCGTAGTCAGAGCGATGACGGAGGTTATCACGGAATCATTTGATGTTAAAACGTTTGTTTAATTTATGTTATAATCAGTTTTTTATTAAACGAGAGAATTGTATGATTAAAATATTGCGAGGGGATAATCTCGAACTCTCCCTAACATCTTTACCTTGAACGCATCTGGCTTGCCCTTGTAATGAGAGGCTGGCACAAATGATCGAGTGACTGGTCTCTGCCGGTAACACCTTCTTAAAATTACAATTTAATTACAACCCCTCTTACAATTATTACAATAAGGATTGCATTAATTGTTTACCTTCTCAGTTGTAGCACTAAAATGGCGCTATGTTTAAGATAAATGCTCAGTTATTCCTGCAATTAATGCTTCGTCCTGCTCAACGCGACTGTACCGTCCAAGATCTGCGCCGGGTTCGGCTCTAAGGTAAAATTGACTGCTTCGTTTACAATTCCTTTTCATTATTTCCAGATTCTTTTACTGTAATAAACTAAACCAGTTGACAATAAATAGGTCTTGTTTGATGTAATTGCTAATTTAGTTTAAAAATTTTCGTTCATCTTTTGTTATGTAAATTATAATTTTTATTTGATTATTTTTTAACTCGCGGTGCAGTCAACCATGTTTACCGAGGCGCTTATTTTCGTCTTGTTCTTCATCTTCGTGTCGATGGCATTCAAGAGATACCAGAAGGTGAGACTCGGTTCATGCATCGTAAAAATATTATTTACTTCATATATCCCTCTATATATGGTCCAGCTGTACATAAATGTTCTCTTTCAAATGACCTTTTTATCTATGAATGAAGCCCATCCGTCCAATATTTCACCTTTAACTTCTGGCTGGGGCTCTTTTCTAAATTTAATGTTATAAGTGAATTCAAATTGTAATAATGATGTATAGGTGTAGCAGATTCATCAGCGTGCTGATGTCGGCTACCTGCAAGAAGAAAAAAAGTATTCATTTATTCAACGAGCAGGTGAATGCTTGTCGTTCAGTTTTTGCTTGATGCGTAGCAGGTTAATTTATTCGGCGTGGCATGACATGAAAATCCAATCTTAATTTATTAAAGTAGGATTTTGTTCATTTTCTGCCCTGATTCTTTTGTTCATTCATTAAGAAACCCTGTTTCTTAATGGTATGAAATTTCATGTTCTGGTTAAATTAACGAGAGTTTAATAAAAATTCTGGGTTGGATGAGAATTTAAGCGGACCAATGTTCAATTCACATTACATTGGTTTGAAAATCATTATTCGGATTTAACCTAATCGTTAATTTTACTTCACTTCGACACAACAAAGAAGAAACATATTATTAAATAACTGCGAATTTAAAATCGTAGAAACCTGCAAGTAAATTGACCACCTCTTCATCGAAGATATAACGATGAAAATTTTCCAGGAAAATATTGTGAATTTAATTGGTCAACTCGCTATATTATGTTATGTTTTAAGAAAAAAAAAAGATGTTGCTGCGAGGAGCTTAATTATAATGACCATTTCAATCATCATATTTTCTTCGGAAACCTTTGCTATCAACAAATGCTATTGAGTATTAGAAATGTTTTGCGCATTACAAAGCATTACGTATTAAATGAACAAGCTCTCCTTCAGTTCATATTCACGCAATCTCTTATCCATATCGACCCTCAAAGCAATTATCAATGCAAGCATGCTATCTCACATCGTTACATTTATCACATCTTCCGCCATGTTACCGAGAGAAAATGTCTTATAGTGCTTGCTCGGTATTTTGTAAGGGACTTGTTTTGCCATGGGATGATTACACAGCGCACTTGTTCTTGTCCTTGAGATCGGCCGTCCTATATAACCTTTTATTTTCTTTAGTCAGCTTAACAGGGCTTATCAAATCAGGCTCTCAAAATCACTGCTTCTCATTAGTTCATGTATATCTTAAGGGAATTAATAATTGCAGACTTGAGTGAGTTTGATGATTTATAATGTTTTTTTTTTGTCTCTCTCGAAATATCATTAGTTTCAGATAAACTTATTTAAATAAACTTAGGCATAATGAGAAACGATCTCTCGGGTTTCACAATAACTGCGCTGCTCTTCATAAGAATTAAGTATAGATAAGGAGTGTTAATTTCTTTTCGGGAATCCATGGTCGTCCATCAAATATACACATAACAGAATTAACATATATAAATAACAAAGTTTATTTTTTTTTTAAATTGTAAGTGATACAAACAATGACTTTTTTTTCGGCAATTCCTAAAACTCTTCTGCATCCTATTCGTCGGAAGGTTATAAACGACGCATGTACATAATGCTCTTTGACTCTCTGTTTTTCCTCCTATTCCTCCTGGGATAAATTAAGTGTAAAAATACTCCAGACCGTTGACTCAATGTCGCTGATTCAAAGCAGGATTTTGCTCAGAATCAACGAGATTGAGCTATTATGAGGAGTATGTTTCTGAAATCCTTTTCGATGGATAGCAAATCTCAAATCATCAGTGCTGCTCCGCTGATTCACCGCAATCCAGCGTCTTCATCACATCCGAGAGTGGGATTTAAACAGGATTTAAGGGTTGCGAGAACAGGAATGATAGGATTTAAAAATGATTGATAGGATTTAAACAGGATTAGTAGGATTTGAACAGGATTGGCAGGATTTAAGGGTTACGAGAGCAGGATTGATTGGATTTAAACAGGATTGGTAGGATTTAAACAGGATTGGTAGGATGTAAACACGATTAATAGGATTTAAACAGGATTTAGAGGTTACGAGAGCAAAATTGACAGTATTGTATTTAAACAGGATTGAATAAAAAATCGTTTATGATTTACAAATAATCAAATGTTCCTTCGCAGGAGACTTGATGGAACAAAGAATAAAGTCTTTTCCCAGAGTTTCCCTTGCAGCGTCACTTTAAAACTTTCGTCGCCTGATAAAAAGCGAAGATCAATGCTCCGGCTCTTATGAACTCAATGATGAATCAAAATGAATCAACATTGGCATGGTGCAAAATTCCATGAAATCTCAGAAACTCATTGGCTGTGTATCCGATGACCTTGAATTTATTGGATGATCAAAACGAAATTTAACGCAACTGAAGCTGCTGTTAAAAATTATTTTATTCGTAAATTACATTAAGAATAAATATACATAACAACGGTCTGTCGGCGTTGTTATCAATAATAAACCCTGGTATTCCTGATTGCTCGTTAAACGTCTACCTTAATATTGTGATTAATTCCACAGCAAAGCAATGTGATTTGGCTATACGGTCTAAAACAAGTTCAAACCTTCTTCTGACGAAAAATTCACTTCTATATATTAAAGGTTAAATAAGAATATTTGCTAAACACGTTAACCTGAAATTATTTAATCTGTATTCATGTATTTGAATATTGTCAGTTAAAGCATTAAGGTTAAAACCTGAAATTATTTATTATTTTCGTACGTTTTGAAATATTTAAAGTTGTACTGGCAAGGTTAAAATAATATTATTTAAAATTTTCGTACATTTTTTGAATATTTAAAATTGTACCCGGATGGTTAAACTGAAAATTTTTAATCTGAATTTATGTATTTGAATATTGCGACATGTATGCGCAGGTGCGTCTGTTGGAGCGCATCCCCGGGCCTCATGCGCTGCCGCTGTTGGGCAACACCTTGCAAGTGCAGGGCTCCCGCCAGCGTGAGTGACGGAGGATGCTTATAGATTCAGTTAAGTAAAGACCTTTTCCCACTATGAGACTCTGCGCGACTGACGCCTAAAAACTGGCTTTTTTCAGGTCAGACTGAGGCAGTCTGGCCCATCGGCGAATGAAGCACTGCAGTTCAATCTTTTCAAACGCGTTCAGGAATAGACTAGACAAGGCCATGCAGGAGCTTATGTTTAGTCTTGTAATGCCTCGTATCGAGTCGTATCCTACGGAATAACTGAAATCTAGAAGCGATTTCAAACCTACCGTCCGTTGAAAAGATTTGATCACAAGGCGGGTCTAGTCAAGACAAGTACAAGAATCGGCGACAGTCCTATCCAGGCCTATCCTTCACTGCCGAAGATACTATACTAATCTTTGACTGCTGAGTGAGCCGCTCATTATGCGAGAGTGTCACTCTGACTTCCGTCCTAGAATTTTGTGTGTTGCTGTCGCTCCAATATACGCGTGCGGCGGAGCAGCAGCCCAGCTGGAACTGTGTGTGTGACATTTGGCTTCATGGTCTCAGACCAGTCTTAATCCTTTCGAGTCAGTCCCGTAGTGGAAAAGGGCCTTAATGGGATACTATTGGTTTAATTAAATTTAGTTTTAGTTTAGTCAAATTTTGTAGAGCAGTATATCTTCGTTGTTCCAGTCAGCAATTATTTCACTACGGAGAATTACGTAGAAGCTCTTTTAGGTATAAAAATGTCTTAATAGTCCTTTATAGTCATTTAATCGTTACCTCCTTACAGTTGTTCTTAATCAACAACTAGGCGTATTTTTTCATCAAAATGTAAATGAAAAAGTAAAAAGTATCACATCTAACTTAAAAACAACACCCCTCCTTTCCACAGAACTATTGCAAACATTAATGGATTTCTCCAAGCATGGCAACGGCATCGCGCGAATTTACTTAGGACTCAAACCCTACGTCCTGCTCAGCAAATGCAGCTCTGTGGAGGTGAGGCTCAGTGTGTTGTGGGGACATTGTGTGGGGACATCGTGTGGGGACAATGTTTGGGGACAATGTGT